TGTGGATTGTTGTCTGTTTGTGACCATGGGGCTAGGAGAGCACATAGACGTTGGCAAGGAGCACCATGCAATGTGGGATTGAGCGCTTAATGTTGAAAGCAAAATTTCCTTAATATAGAAAATAAATATTTGAAATGTGCTTATCCTTTCGCTACTATATCAATGGCATATTTATTATAAATACGGATATTATAATCAGGAGTACACATTCTGTTGAGAGCTATGGATGCAAGAATTTTCTAGCAATCATTGGACTTTAAACATTGCACAATGAAGCTTAAGTAAAAGAATTCCTGATGTGGTGCAGTAATGGTTGGACAAGATGTGGTGGTATAGCTTGGCTGAGAGACTCCAATTTCTATTCTAATGATGGTTGCTGCCATTGAAAACGTTGCTGGGAAAAACTCCATATATTCAGTGGCATCCCTGGAAATTATCAAAAATGCAAGGGTAATGCGCAGGATTCCTGACAGCACAGGGTCTTGAAGCATTTCCATTGGGTCAGGGTCACTAGCAAGAAAGGACCAAATAACACTTTTGCAAACACACATAAAACGTATTTCACCAAAGTTCTGCGCACCTAGAGTACAAAAATAACCAAAAAACGTAAGCTTTGCACACTTTTTAACACGTGTTATTTGGCCCCTTTTTCCTAGTGGCAATGAGGGTACTGTATAGGGACTAAATTAGCTGGAAGTGAATTTCCCAAGTTTAAACCTGGATGTATGAAAATAACCGCGATAGTAGCAAATCTGCTTCAAGCTATTGATGGGTTTGAACGGCATGGAGACTGCCATGCTAATAGCCCTTGCAGAATACAAGAGCGAATAAAATAAAATATAAGTTGCTAGACTACCTTATTCAATACTGCATTACATAATATGCCGCTTCATGAAACGCAACTTGTATGATAAAAGAAATGTCAATTTTGTCGCTGGGCTGCAAAAGATCATAAAAACATGAAATAATGAAGAAAAGAAAATTCAAGGGCAACCAAACCCCACTGTTTTCAAATAAAATTATTGAATCCATGAACTCTGAGACAGCATTTGGGAGGTGGAGTATACTCACCAGAGTTGTTGCTATGGTTTTCCAATCCTTGTGTTCTGAACACACAATCACACAATATTGTCAGCAACTCGTTATGGAGCGCAACTCATGCAGATGCTCATAGCGGCTATTAACTAATAATAGTATGAGATGTACTTTGTATGGGCGCTCTCTGCTGCATACATGCATTGAGCATGAATGCCCTTTCCTCTACATAGCGGGATCTTCAAATTGGTGACTATAGTGGATAATTGTGGAATTCTTCTTGCATTGTGTCGGAGATAATTTCAAATTTGTGTGCAAGTGTACAGATGAACTCAGATGCATGTTTTTTCTTGCAGTCAATATGGTGACATACCAGAATCGAACCATCAATGATTGTATGAATCAAAACTCAATACTGTTCTTCCTTACCCAAATGATGTTGTTGTACATGCGCAAGGCTAAAATGATGTCGTTGATGCCCAAATGAGGTTGTTGCTGTGATAAGAGCATTTTGAAAGTCATCTATGAAAGCAATTAGCAATGAGTTCAACTGATATATTAGAATACCACCGCTTGTACAATCGCACCAATTGACATACAATGCGGTGGCTTGCTGTGCACCAAAGATGAATATCTCTTGGTGTTGCTTCAAATTGATTCATATTTAATTTGCTATGCAACAATCGATAGTACTATCAATCCATTTGTTTGCTGATATGTTGTTTTCTGTATGAGGTGTTTATTTTATAAGTCAAGAGGCACAAATGCTCCTCTAAAAATATTTAGTCCAGTGGTTGCTAAAAGACCTCACTTTTCAAGCTAATTTGATCATTGGCTAACAACCAAAAGTTCACAAAATTTCGACCTCACTTGTGGCCATCCCCATTATGTGTGAATATATTGGTAACTTCTTATTGTCAATCTTATTTCAAGAAGACCATTGATCACTTAGCCATGTGTTAGAGCAACTCTCATCAATGCGATTTCTATTACAAGAGAACAAAGCTAGAAGATGTCAATGGTACTAGGAAGTTAAAATATTTTATGTAAAAGTCCTAAAATCGAGGCCGAGCCCTGTGCTTTAGTATTGGTTTCTCATGCTTTTAGTGTAGAACTTGAGGTTGAGGGGGGTGATGTAATTTTATGCATAAGGTTTTGTTTTGTATAGTAGTCAGTGTCCATATGATAAGCATTGAGTGGTGCGTATTGATCTCTTCTTATCTACGTTGTGTTGTGTAGCACTATTTGAGTTGCCACGGACAAATTTACCCATTTCCATGCAGCCATATGTTGTGTATTATATAAATTGTTACCCTTACTGACAATAGGCTAGAAATAGGTAGAATGAAATATGAATCTATACCAGAGGGCGCCTGGGAGATGGGCTTGCTGTCATCATAATCCTTGACATTTGAGACAACTAAAATGGTCAAAATATTGGATAACATCAAATAAACACGATAAGAAATGCAAAGCGACCCCATAAATTGTGATGCTCATTTGGTTAATGCAGTATTGGAAAAATATCATTGATTAAAACTTCTGTTTCCGTGATGTATAGAGTGCAACCCACAAGCAAGTATACAAAGCTTCGTTTCTTCTCCACTATGTAAGCCACTTTTAAGTAGGGTGGTAAGGGAAAGCAAAACTACAATTTGCGTGGCATGATTGGAGGCAATAATAAAAACATTATTTTCTGTTTCCTGAAGTGCATATGCCACATTCCCATTTTGAATTTGCCAACAATAGAGAATTGACTACGACATAATATCTGAAATGGTAATAAACAAATCAACTTGATGGTTTAGCAGAAGATTGAGTTAGGTATATAATGTACAAGGAGGTTTTGGGATCTGCGTATCATATCAAGTATTTCACACACTATGCATAACAGAACTCAACAAAGCAAGATTTTGCATTGTCGTTTACCATCCAAGAAAGCATGTAACATGATGGCTATCCTGGTATAGGGTAATGGTCAATTTGAGCTCTGCTAGGTCCTCACCACTGGTCAAACTATAGTTTGAAGTCAAGAAGTGGGCCAAGGGAAGCGCATTATCAATATGCAATAATTTCCATGCTGACATCATTTATCAATGTTCTAAATTGACGCATTTTTCATTGTGATTTGACTGTATGAATTGTCTTGAATGAGTTTTAGATGAAAATGTACCTCAGTGCTACCACAACTGGGTGTTATCTGTGGATTCCATGGGGTAATTGTCAATCCTTGGTGAACAGTAGCATCTTCAATTTCAGTGTTGTTTTAGCATGCCCGTATTTCAACCAAAACTAAGATTGTGGATATCAACATCAAATATTTGAGGAGGTTTCTAAAGGAAACTAGCAATATTTTTGCCTTGCCTCTAAGATTCTGGAGGCCACTGTGCTCTGGTACACAACATATTGTTTGGAGTGTCGATGTCGTGTAACATCAACAGATCTACACTGCATACCACTGTTGCATTAGTCAGTATGTGTCCATAGCACTGCTACAATGTGTTATTACGGTACTAGCCTCAAAAGCTGCTCAGCAAATAACACTGCATTCGCAATGTGATAGTTGCATATGTGCACAGACAATGTTGTTGTTAATTATAGTCTTCTGCATCCAAGGACTGCGCTACCCTCAGATACGGCAGGGAACGGCAAAGAACACACTGTGTTGTTCAGTGAGGAGAAGTGAATTTGCAATCCATTATTGTGCCATACCCATTGCAGCAACTACTGGATTCATATCAGTATATTTAAATGATACCTATGGCCAACTGAGGTGGGGAAGATAAATGTTCTCAGTGTGGACCTCCACACAACCATGTCATGGTTCCAGGTCTCGAAGGTATTAAAACTAAATAGAACAATTGCCAGTAATGATAGATGCCAAATGAAATCTAATGTGGATCAATTGCAACCAAAATTGAGACATACTTCAATTCAAGCAGCAGGGCGTTTTTTCCACATTGATGCTTATTGTTAACACACAAGTAACAACGGCATAGCATTCTAGTTCTTTAAATGCCAAGAGCTAGTGTTGATTGTACCCAACAGACGGTAGTCTGGAATCCGATCTTAAAAACACAACGTAAGATGCCGTACATCTAAAGGGATCAAACATCGCAACCTTCCCACCAAAGCCTCCCAAAACACTAATGGGAGTAGACTTTGTTGACCAAGAGAAACAATCAGCAAATAAAAATTTACCGCCATGCAATATTAGTTCCAAAGTGAAGGCATTTCATGCAACAGACTGAAACTAGGATTATGAAATGGGCAGTTGGACCACCAGAAACACAGGAAAATGCAGACATCAGGGCACTAGAATAAACTATGTTGCACCATAGTCCTAACACAGAGAGACTTGTGCATTGATGAAGTAACCTTGGGCGATTGCAGCTTTGACCCAGTTAGTACCTGCAGCACCATCGGCACAGAATCAGAGTGAGGACTCATGAGCAGCAAAATTTCCCACTTATGCACAGTTTCCTGTCAGAATCCTGCAATGCGTTGCTACCGTACACTTGGTGCATAGGTCCATTGCCATATGCTGCACACCCTCAGCAACACGAAACTTGCTAGCTTGCAGGCGATCGGCAACAACGCATAGAACATCATTGTCCACAACCTGGTAGTGTTAAATACATTATGTGGCACTGCAATTCCCAAGGGTTGAGTTCAGCTGCTGCAACAATCAACAATTCTAACTTCTGTTCACCGCCACAAGTACAAACACAGCTGTTCCGGCCATTCGCCTATAGAAAATCAGCAGATCTTTTCATTGGATACTCCACTTGGTTCCTAAGCAGTGCTCAACCTGGTAAACACAACTTCCTGGCGATCATCTTTTGAGCATCCTGGGAGAAGGAAACACTTGTTGGTAGATTTTGCTCATATTCACTTTCGTCAGAGCTAATTTAGTCATAATTTAGTGACTCTGCACTCACCGTCCACCGACCACCATTAATTTCTCACACCACTTCACCATCGTCTTCCACACCAGCCACATTGTCTTCCACAATTGTGGCATGTCGAACTAATGATCCCCTGCGGCGGGTGATTTGACGCATGAGGGAGTGCGGGGCAAACGACAAGGCAGTTCCAGTTTCAGCAGCAGTGTCAATGCCAGGCATAAATTCCACAAGCCTCCGAGTACCTGTTCATCACAAGGTCATGCTTAGCATTTGCACATTTGGCATTGCCCATGATTCTGCTGCCATGAGAAGCTGGGGTGGGGCAGTGGTAGTTCAACTCGTACAATTTTACTGGCAGATGAAGCCCAGTACATACCACTGACCTTTGTACAACAGAGGATGAAAATATCAGTGTGCACCCTTGCCATCAGCATTATGATGACTGAGATGATCTCAACAGTGCCAGGCATAAGTTTTGCGCACTTTGAATTAGATACGTGCATTTCTGCATGCCTCATTTATCATCCCTGCAGTGATTCTGACCCGCCATTGGAGACACATTCTCAGGTCTTGGGCAGCAGACTAGAGCAAAAATGGAAACTTGGAAGCTGACGGCAAGCATGATGGAAAGCAAGCACTAATTCACAAAAAGAATCCGTCCCACATGAGGTACTGCACTTTATTGCGCATAGCAAGTGTCCACTGCATTGTTTCACCCCCCGGGACCTTGCAGAATATACAAGCAAGCCAAAATATCACAAAAATCTGACAATATGCTGATCCCATCCCTATTCTGCACAAGTAAACCATGATTTCAAGACCCCATTGCCATATTATGCTGCGCAAATTCTCAATACAGCAAGCCAAAGTGCTGCATACTGAAACTGTGTGCAGCAGAAAACTCCGTGTGAACGCCCCATCAGGGTGTAGGCCCCCCAAATTTCCATGACAACTTTTGGATCTCTGATTTTTTGGCCCGCCAACTTTTCAGACACTACCATCAGTGGTTGAATCTTGACAGAGTCCCGTGGTCTTGCTGGGTGTCAAGCTGTTGGGCACATTTGGAAGCCACTGGCACAGAATGGCTTGCATGGGTACAATGGTGCAGCAAACTCGCTAACGTATGACAGTGAAAGGGAGCAATACGCAGCTCTATCTGCCACTGTAATCAACATTGACCATCTCTAGACGGGACATTGCTAGAAATAACTCTGTAGGAAGCAGAGAGCAGGGTACTGCTCCAGGGGCTACCAATCAGTGGCTCGCGTGACCAAAGCCCATGCACAGAGTAGAAGAGCATGCAGCAGCGCCTGCCATGGCGGTGTGGCCACCATGATATGGCACTTGGTCATTGCCGCAGTCGCATGGGCAAGTGCTGTGGTTATCAATTTGGACAAACATGTGTGCATAGGACTTTCCATCCGTTTCTTCACACAGAGTATAAGGCACGGGAAATACACAAAGGGATATGATGGTTTGGAAGATGGTTTACAAATTTCCCGTGATTCAATTTTTGTGCAGTGGAACATATTGCAGGAAAGGAATTTCGCAAGGAGAGGTTATTACGTGCGCCATTGAGTGCACAACAATGCTTCCACAAAAGTATTTTTAGGCAGAAAATTCGATTTTTTTTAGCTATGTATTATTCAAAGCTACCCCCAATACCCATACTCTGCAGAAATGGCACCAGATAGGTTAAATTTGCCAATTGGTCACAAACGCGTATGCACTATGTGCTTCCTTGTGGCCATTGCATGGGCTCTTTCCTACTTTGCTGTCAAGTTTAATGCCTAATTGGAGGGAGATAAGCACTCGGCACAATCTCCAGCTCATGTTCAAAGAAACGCCAAACATCATGTTCACATTTTAGTTGCCCTTCAGCTCATTTGCTACCTATGGCTTCAAGCCCATACATGTGCATCTGCAATGTTTTAAAGTCGTGTCCATCACATTCATGATTTGTTCTCAAATGATCGAGCTCGATAGAAGTAACAAGCTCAATCAACATCACCGCAATTGGGCAAGCAAGCAGTGCTGCTCAGCATTCAAGGTATTGGAGCCCATAAGAAAGCAACTACTGTTTGCTTGTTGAATGTCCATTACAAATTTTCATTCTCAACAACATTTCCAGCTTCCCATGCCAAATTTCCTGTTGGGGTTCAACCGTGCTATCCCCATGTGTCAATCATGGCCAAATACGAACTCAATGGACATATTAAACGGTGGATCTATCGTACACACTCCTTGACATAACAGCAATGTCTGGACACAAGAACCTGCTGCATGTTGCCAGTAATGAACAGTATCAAGCTCTTCGCGCCTGTCATACATGTATGTCAGCTTAATGCAACATGCAATAAATTACAACGCATGGAAATTGTCATAAATGCTGGCAATCCTGCTATTGTTAGTGTCTAAATAACAACTCGTCCACATTTATGCAGCTTTTACAACATTTTAGAAACCAAATACTGTTTCAAGGCTGGCATAATTTTTTGGGCTACGTGTGTCACACAGAGTGTGATCATTTTGACTCATGAATGAACCCAAAATGCACTTAATTTGCTCCATAGGGACATGGCATACCATGCAAATGGTTTGCATTGATCCATAGGGAATGTAGGAAACATCAACTCACTTGTTCTGGTGAATTTTTTCTTCATCCTGCTCTTGCCACTAACAATCCTATTGGCCTTCTCTCCAAGGGCAACCTTTGCATTCTCTTTGATGATATCCTTTCTTGTCAATATGCCCATCCCAAGTGGCTTTGTAGGGGCTACAAGAAGGTGCCGAAGTCCCATGGTCCGGAACAGGCGATATGCACGAGTGAGGCTGCCATTGTACAAAAACATCAGTAATGCGTGGCTACTGAACAATTGATAGACACTATGCCGTAGGCTTGGCAAACAGTCCTCTAGCAAACTAATGAAATAAAGCACAAGCACACCAGATGCCTTGCAACATCCCAAGAGGCAGCATCCATAATTATAAACTAATCTCAAATGTGTTGACACTAAATGAATGACATGGTGTCAATTCTTGACAAAATCAAACTAACTTTGTCAGCTGCAACAGCTTCAGTTCAGTGTACCTTTCAACACATATTTGGGCATTTCATTTCAAAGAACCTGTAGGAGTGGCACAGGTGATGCTGCTCTTCAGCAGTCCATCATACATACAACTTGTAAGATATTGGTTCATTTCAAAATCAGTCAGTTGCCATCCATTCTGTTGTCTTCAAAATACAAATGTCAAAGTGTGGCTCACATCTGCTTGGCCCCCATTTGCTTGGACAGAACATGAACATGAATAACACATTTGTTTGCCTCATAGCTGATCCCTAATGAGGGTGCTTGATGGCCGTGGCAGCTAGTACAGGGCTTCTGGGTGTCTTCTAAGTTGCATACACTGGCACACTTTGTGGGTGGCAACATTGTGGGTGTCGAGATAGAACATAAGGGGGGAGAGGTGCATTGTTCATCAATTGCCATGGATACAAATGTCAAAATAATGTCATCTAAAATGTCAGCTCAACAAAAAAAATTGCATTCGGAAGTAACTAGAGGACGCGATAATACACCCAAGCATTGGGAGCCAACCTGATAACAGCATATGCTTATTAAGCAGTACTGTGATGAAGAAAATCAATGTTTTCATCAGTTTCTGAGCCAAGTTCTTCATCTTCTGATTGCACTGCACACACCTGGCAGTGCTGTTCACAAAGAACGGCTGACGCTGCATGAAGGGCCTTAGATCAAGCACCCTCTCCATGACTTCTGCTGGCACGGCACTCAGGATTTTCTCCTGGTCGGCCTTTGCTGACAGTCTCATGGGATAGGCATCCAGCTGGTCTTGAAGCTCCAATATTTCTTTGTCACTTGGGGGCAGGCTGTACCTACCTGTGCTTGCACCTTCCAGTTCCTATTCCAAAACATTATTTACAATAACCAGAACGCAATTGCCCTGTGACCCACCATGCAATGCCACATGCCTTTGACTGCGCATATCACATTCTCCTTGTACACAATTGCAAGCTGGCACTGTACACAAAAGTACAGCCATGGAATCATGTGGGACATGGTAATTGTGTAAAAGCTGCATTGAATGGATGTGCCATGTGCAGGTGATGCATCAGAGGACCTAAAACAATACATGCATTGAATCCATGCAAGTCAAATTTTGTTTGCTGGGATGGCCGTGTGCCCTTGTAATGTGTCATAGACTTCTTTGGTGTATTTGTCACATGACAATGCAATGCCATAAAAACACAAGGCAATTAAGAGGGACAGACAATAATACAGTCAATGTAGTACTGCCCTCCCACAGTGTGCAGCAGGGTCACTGAAATTGGAAATATTGAAGAATTAAAAGCAACAGCGGCATAATAGACATCACTGCTCCCCCAAAATATGGACATATTTGACAGTACATAAACTTTAAAGAGACTGCATTGACAGAAAGATGAACCAACAAGGGCTCTGATTACAGAGCCTTGATCAGGAAAACTGAACTGGCACAACTGTCTTCACCATCTTGAAGGCAAAAAGGCTACCCTCAGCCGCATTTTGTTTCATACAAATTGCTGAGGGTTTTTCCAATGCTTCAACTTGCTATTTACCTAATGCACTGCAAAATGCAGATTGCACAACTGAACACTACATTGATTGTTACAGTACATAATGACAAAACACCAGCGCCAACCTGGGGCACCAAACCAATCCTTCGCTGAAGGAGCCTGAGCAGCAGGGATCTTGTGATGAGGCCATCGATCTGGACGGGGCCCTTTTGCGCTCGGATAGGGCACTCAACCTCTGTGCTGACTGGATATCCCCCATGGGAGAACTTTCTCAGAGTGGCTGCAAGGTCAGCGACTTTAATGGTGGGAGGTAGGCACACCATTTCAGATGCCATCAATTCGTTGACTGACAACTCATCATGCACAATGCGGGACTCAGGCTCCATTGCATCCTCTGCCTGGCCACAAGTACAGATGCATAAGCACCGGTCTTTGCCTGGGAAAGAAAACGTTTTCAATGATGAGAATGAGCACATTTGCAGCAATTACAATATCTGTATTTATTGCTTGATGCAGTACGAAAATCCAATAGACATCTGGATGCAAAAAACGGATTAATCACATCAACTGCACTGCCATGCATTGGTGTGAAAAAATGTCAGTATGTGCATCATCGCACAAGTGGACGTCCACAAATTCCACATCCTTAGATATTTGCTTTCAATAAACAAACGCAGAGAAGACAAAGTGAGGTGCAACAACATCGCAGATATGAAATTGTTGGACAATCAGCTTTAGGATGACTGGTTCCATGCAAGCAATGCCCTCTAATTGCAACTGAGCTTCGTAGCCCAAATATTCTACACCTGCCTATGTTGAGCAATTTTCTCTCACAGCACAGACAGAAATATGCAGCCATTGCCACAACCACAGAAAAACTTGACTACTTACATTCCAGATCCTAAAAATTAGTGGAGAAGGATGGCGTGCTTGGGAAAAAACATTCTCACCAGCAATGGCACCCCTCGAAGCTCAATCTGTGTGTCATATATGCCAAGGCCAAAGGAATCCCCCACCATCTTGGCCACCCATGTGGCTACCATGATGGGCACCAGAAGCTCCAGAGCACCAGTCGTCTCCATCACAAGAATCACTATAGAGATTGTCATTCGGGTCGCACCGCCGAGTGAAGCTGCTGCACCAACAATGGCATATGCTCCAAGGGACACACGAACTTTAGAAATTCCAAGTTCCTGCACCAGGACTGTCACACCCCTGCAACATGCAAATGCAGTCAAATCCAATATTAAATCGAGCACAGTGTTTCATTTTGAGCACCTAATGACCCTTCAATACATTACTCCCATACTTTTGCTAAACTGTTCCACAGGGTGTACCTCAAGAATTAATGAGACAGCAGTCATATTTACAATCAGCAAAAATTCCTACCAACAACTGGCAACTTGCAGCTTACAATTTGCAATAATGTATTGCTATTCAATGAGTAGAGCATGACATGAGTTGACAATTTTCTCTGTTTGTGACAGTGCAAGATCAGTGTACATTGATTGACTGAGGACCCGAATGGCTCACCTGCCAACCAATCTCCCAATTGTTGCACCCACTGTCAGGGACGGAACAAAAAGGCCAGTGGCCGCCCCAATGCCAAACGTCCATGTCATGAACAGGTATGTGTAAAGGAACAGCAGTGCCAACGAGTCGACCTTGAAATTGAACGATCCCACATTGGGTAGGGTCTCTCCCAGGTGGAATACCAATCGAAGGGCCTGCACCAAGGGCAAAATTCTCCTTAAAATATGTTTCTGATCAAATTCAATATACTGAATGCTGCATACTTGATGCTGTATAACATCAATTATGTCATTTGTTGACGAATCTTGAGTCAGTTATTTAGTTAATCAATTATCATGCCTGGTATGTCTTCCTGCTGAAATAGAACATTGTAGCAATGGCATGGTAAGTTGGAAGTTCAGACTGAAACTACAAAGACAATAATTGACAATCATGCTACTCTTTTCTCACAGCTGGAATCAGTGAGTTCATATTCCCAAATTGGGAATATGAACTCACTGGTTCCATTGGGAATCCCAATGAACTGTGATAAATCATGCAACCCCACAGACAGTATCGTTCAATCGCTTACAATGTTCTATGATTTAGTGTGAGCAATTCTTTCACCTATCTTCAATTGCTGCTCTCACCTGTGTCAGAGGCGCCCCAAAAACTTGACCCCATCGACTATATTGGCCATCTGGGCACCACAGTTGTGGAAAATAGGGATTGCCTTCCACACCCCCACCACCAAAAAAGTTTTCCTGTAAAATCATTCAATAATCAAAGAACACGAATGGAAGTCAGTCAAGTGCAGAAGCACACACCTTTCTGAGCATAACGCACAGAAAAGGCACATAAAAAGTGTTAAAGCTCGCTGATATTGTAAATGACAAATGGTGCAAACACTACAGACAGCTTCTGCACCAATTTTCAAACATTGTTTGCTCCTATTGTCACATTTTTGTTCCCATTGTTGCAACACCAAATTTAATGTTCCAATCACCGTTGATTGATCTATTGTGGTGTCTAAGAACAACTATGCAGGATAACATGCCCCAGTGTCAACAATCCCAAAGTAGAGTATGAATAATGTCCTAAATTCAAATGACATACCAAGGACATCCCAAACAGTTCTGAGCAAGCTGAACCTTGATTGTGCAATAATATTGATACGGAAAGCACTATAAGGTCTACTGAATTCTACCAATGCCAAATTTCAAGATACATTCTACTGTGCCTAAATTTGACACCAAATTATTAGAATTGCAGAAACCAAACCATAACAATCAGTCTTCCATTGAAAGATCTGAAAGTAGTTCATCCTCAAATTGCTCAATGAGGGATTGCTGGTGATGCTTATGGTGCTGCTGATGCCCACCTTCCACATCAGTCACAGGGTATGATGCCATGCATACCAGGAAAGATTCCAAGCAAAGGAGAAATACACAGCTACATTTAATCAGGTCCTACACAGCCAGGCTGACACCAATTGAGGTTGACAGGGTGTGCCGGACCGAATGGATAGAGGAGTACTTGAACAATTGTTCTAGCACAGATACAAGCAACCCACTGCATGATGGCACGAATTACGGATGGAAACCACATATCAAAGTGGTCTGAAAGATTGTTAGCAATCAAAGCAAGAGAACAGTTAGATAGTTACAATCATCTGAATCATTTGCATCTTACTGATGAGCTATGCAAATGCAACTGCTCGATGTTGTCTGGCACATCATCGCACGGAGACACGTAGCACAGAAGGAAGGCTGCAGAACTGGTAACCCATGCAACAAACACCACCTCCACCAGCCTGCGATGGGAGAACCTTATAGGTATGAACCTCTGCCTGAACTGTGTGATCTTCACATTGGTCTTTATAAACAAAGCGCCCAACAGGCCACCAACAGCTCCAATCACAATGTAGATGGGCATTTCCCACAAGAAGTAGTACAGGTTGCGTCCATAGCTGGCATCACCATCACTGTAGAGCCCAAAGTCACGCTTGACCCCAAGCTTGGCCTCCCACATTGCCGACCCAGGTTGGTCATACATCTCTGCCTGATCAGCAAAGAATTGTGCACGTCAAAGCCTCTGCTGAGTTGCAAGTTGTCTGCTTCATAATAGGTGGTATGACAAAAAAGCTCAAAAGACTGTATTTATTGGAAAGGAAGCAACAAATTCAGCAAAACGTGTTGCCAATGAAGGGTACGATTGGCCACTTTACACAACAGCGTTACAGGCATTTTTTCAGTGTGTAAGATGCATGGAACCAAGGTACATTTTGCCCTTAGGAATGGGATTTAAGTTTACCACAAATGGAGCTCTGCAGACATTTCCAACCAATGAGTGCAATATATGCCACACATGAACACATGTGAACATCCAACAGATGCCATTCCAACTGTGACAAAAGATGAACAACCCACAAATGAAACCCACACAGTGTGCTATTTAGGTATCTCTAACGTATTGACAGCAGTACACATATTTGCATGTCAACAATAGTGAAAGTAACATACCAAGAAATGCAAAGTGATGAGCCCTGTTGAAGTTGCCAGAAAGCCTCGCCACAAGACTGTGGCAAGGGAGTAGAATGAGGCACCTTCCTCAATTGTGAACAACAAACCACCAATTGGAGCTGCAAAGGCTGTGGAAACTCCTGCTGCAGTCCCAATGGCAACAAAATCTCTGTGATCCTGCATTGCAGCCAATCTATTAATAAATAGGCGAATATACATAAAGTTCATATATTAGGAATTACTAGATGTGTGTAAACACACAAAGTTGATTTGATAGGAATTTTGTCTAAACATGCATCAAGCTGCTCTGTCATGGGCCTTGGGCCAAAGGCAGCAAACATTTATTTAAGCACAATACAATATAAGCCAAACGACAACAAAACTGCATTACTGGCAAATTGACATATTGCTTTGAATGTTAGCAGCCACTGAATGGAAAGCCACTTGAGAGTGAAAAAATGGCATGGGAAAAAGCAGAAACAGGAAAATCAATAACCAACGTAAGTACTTGCTTTAGAACTACCAATGATAATGTTGATAGATCTCTGGAGTAGCGCAGCATGGCAACACAACAGGTTAACTGATAAAGCCCAGTTTCGTTCCCAAAATGCTCCAGATATTGCTGGTGACCAAAGGAATTAGTACAAATTCTGGCTCAATTGCCCTGGCATTTAAATTGAATGTGCGAACAATGTTGATTAATTGCAAAATTAAATAGCAGCTCAGTGGAGTGCTTTTTGGACCACTGCAAGAAATTATTACTCAAAACATATTTTAGCACTACGTCCAATCACAACAACTCTTCTCTGATTCCTTTTTCGAGATGAAAATGCCTTTTCCCAATAACAAGCATTTTGCCAACATCATATTACCCAGTATTCATGAGCATCACCATTAATTATGCAAACTACTTGCATTGATAGCAAAAGCCTTACCACATGATTTCTGAAATAGCCACCATGTTTCCTAGCTGTCTTGAATTCCTTTCCCCCTCTGAGCTCGGTGATGAACTTGGACCCCATGCTCCCACAGCCCCCTCCCACAATGCCTCCCCCATGCACGAAGGGTCCCTCTTTGCCTGCCACCAGCCCTGCAGAAATGGTAAACATCACACTGCACAGCTTTGCAACGAGGGCCTTGATGTGCAGCAGACCCTTTATGTGGACTCCATTGAGGTACACCTTGATCTCAGGAATACCACTTCCAGCAGCAAGGGGCTTGCACAAAGCAAACAGGAACAGCACTGTCAGAGTAAAATCGATTTTCTCTAAACTATTAGTTTGCCACATTGCAAATTCTTCTGCAGCAATCTTATGTACTGTATCACAGATTTATCTGCATTTGCAACAATTCCACATATCATATTGTATGATTCACATGTATGTGTAGCTTTCACGTACTTAATTGCCACAATGGCATCACACAAGGACATGTCCTTGTATGTATACTTGTGGAGCACTTGAAATCAAATCCTAAACATAGTGAGGCTGTACAAGGTGCAAAGAGCAGGACATAATAAAAAAATTACAAATCAGTTGTACTGTCACACACACTTATATGTCTAGTACCAGCACAACAAATCATCATTAACATTATGAACAAATTGCAACAGAAACAGCTACATGATAATCTACATACCCCAGAGACAATGATTGCACAGCACCAGCAATAGTGCAATCGCGCATTGATAAGGATTACCCCATTGCAATAGTTGCAGTCTGCAATCACTGCTCACCTCCACATACGACACAAGAGCACCGGCCACAAGGGCGTACAGGACTGGAAAGGCAACCCATGCAAAATACGGCATCCATACACCACCGTATACATCCATGACCTGGAGAACTGTGCTGATCTTCAATGTGTTGAGTACCTGCATAGTCATGTTTTTTTATCAACTGAAGAATTCGAAAATTTCTTCTCCCTGAAATACTGAAGAGCTTGCGTGAACGATCCAACACCATGCAACAATAAAAGGTGAATGCATGTTTGCAACTAGGCAATAGCTGGTGATTGGCCGTATTCATCACCATCTCGCTAAAAACACATGCGCAAGCGACACAACAATAGCAATCATAGCATGTCCACAGTTGTTCGGCGTTGGCCCTTGTGCCTTTCCACCAGAAACCTTCCTGTGATGGATCTGGATGTCAACATGGTTGGTTTGGTTTCCTTTGTCTATGGACCCATGGTCCAGGACACTGTTTCCCTCAGTGCTGTTGCAGCATCTGTGCATTTGGGGCACTGCACAGCTGCTGTTTGGCCCGCGATGTGGAAGGAGCTCTTTGTAGAGAGGCACAGCATCGAAGGGCCCAGCAAGGGGGCTGCCACCCTGCCAGAGAGCATGAGTCGACATCGTACCCAACAGGCACTCCAGATTCTGTGCATAATGGCTGTGGTAAATGTTGTACCATGCTGTTCAATTTGCCCATTGCAAAAAATGCACTGTGGTTGTCTGAAACCTCCCATTCCTCCACTGGCTGCCATTTGGTTCAACAATTTCCAACCACATTTCTGGCCTGCCTTTTCTCACTGGCCATGCCAGCAAAGTTTGCAGTGCTAGCCCAGTCTTCCCAGGCCCTGACTTGTGAGTTTGGGAGAATGTACTATGTACTATCCAGATTGGCACACCATGTCGCCCTTGCCCAGGCATAGCTATTCAATCCTTGTCAATAAATATGTCAACTGGGTGGTTGATTAAAAGGAATAAACAAAGCCATTGTTGGAATCAGCATAAACAAAAACAAAGCCATATGCATTGGCAGCAATATGGGAAAACACAACGTTGCATCAATTATCAGGTTGAACCAGATCTATCAACCAAAAAGTAAAGAGGCCTACCTCAATCCCCAGGTCCACCAGAAAGGCGATGCACCCCATCAAGAAGCCAATGAGTGCTGTGCACAAATAGGGTCAACTTCACATGCCTTTGTATGGAACATTGCTGTGGGGCGTGCTGTATAAACTTTTGTACATTTGTAGATTGTTGGTGTGTACATGAACAAATCTGCCTGCGTGCTACATATCTATGCAAAATTTCTGGACACGCACAGAAATTCACGTCACAATTCAATTGCATACAATGCAATACTGCTTTTCATTCCAGATATAATAATAGAACCTGGAACAATAGTTGCTACCAAAAGCAGAGCACGCAATGACGGAAAATGCCAATAATATGTCAATAAAACAAACTGGACATGGCACAATCCGTCTACAACTCCTAATCTTCTGGTATCTAAAATGCCACATCCCAGACAATGCAAATGGCCTGAATGTAGATACCCAGCTGTTCATCATTGCCCAGAAAGTTTGTCTTGGGCAAATGTGCTGAATTTTCGGCAGCATATCGACACATTCCGCAGTAAAGCCAAGTGACTACGGTTCTTGGTATTCTTTTGAACATAATTGTACAACACTTCGTAAAATATAGAGAATCAATATACGTCTATGGGTTGGTTTTGCCAAAGTCCATTAGAAACATGAACAACATACACATTGCAATGCAATTTCATAGAAATCAATTCATTATATTCAATGACACAGTTAAGCCCAAAACAGCACCAGAAATTGCCCATCTCCAGGCCTCTTCGTTGAAATAGTCCCAATGCCTTCGGTGCAGCTGAGCTGAACGCTCCACATCATTCTCCTGCGCAATGCCATGGCACCTTGTGGAAAAGAATCAAACACCATTTTTGTAATGCATCAATTCTGTTGGATAAGCAATAGCCCTTGATGTACATGTGCTCAACATGGCCCATCAGCTGCCGACAAACTCAATGCTTTAAGCAATAACAATGCCTTTGCCCCAATGATCAATAACTGAGAACCAATGACACAAGCAGAGAGAACAAGAAGCACTGATAAGTAACTGCCATCCATCAAAAATGGATCCATTAGATACAGTACTTGATTGTGCACAATGCAGCAATGCTTGGTCTGTGATTCTGCTACATTTGGTCACCTCATTTCTCCAACCACCGTGTCATGTTTCAAGACTTAGTACTGCCCACACGACGTGGTTTACTTGCATATCTGAAAATAACAACCACAGCAGAAGCAATTTTCGAAATCACAAACAATAGTTCTTATGGAGGCGCATCCAAACTCAGTCTAAGCAATGGCATAAAAGCTTGGAGATGCTGTGAACCACACTTTAACAATAACATGCAACTTACCACAGGGTCGAAACTCATGCTCTCAAATGTGCTCATCTTGTGCAGCCTGCTCAACACATCCTTGGTCTCCTACAACCCAGCAGTTGAATCTTTCAGGCATAGCCGCACCTCCATTCATCAAAAATAGAATGCCCAATGCTAATGGGCATTTGCGCATGCTTTATGCTGATCTCTCTAATGCGCTCATGCTGTAGAACTTGGGGACTTCTGTATCAATGTGGTTAGAACCATTTGTTAGCTACTGTCATTTAAATATTACTTCCTCCATCCCAAAATGAATAATGGTTATGATCTGCAGCCTTAGAAAAAGCCATCAACACATCTCCAAGAGCTGCCCAATTGACCAGATATCGAGCTTTGTGTCAATTCTGACCCATCAAATTTCAGATCAATAGGGCAAGTAATAAGGGAAATATTACCCTTAGATATGTCAAACTAAATATTGTGAAAATCTCTCAAGGTGGTGCAGAAATGGCCCCTGACCATGGCGACTTGCAACCTCAGCTACAAAATGCGTGTGGACTTGTTGTTTGCTCTTATGGAGTGCATACATGAGGCATAATGCGACAGCAACTTCGAGTTTGCCTCGCTGGCAAGAAGCAAGAGCAGAATAGGGGAAAAGGCTGCTGTTAGACACAATTGATGCCTCATGCAAGCCGCTTTTTGAAGCATGATTAATGGCCTCAGATTGAGTTTCTGTGATAGATGAGGGTGATCCCAGAAGATTTGGCACTTGGTCTTTCTGTTTTGCATGATTGAACAGATCTTAACATTGATTTTGCCGTTTCTGACAATCATTACACTCTTTGGAATGGTGCAAGTGCCATTTATCAAACTATTATGACTTTTAGCATTGCGCAAACAACCCCACATTAGCCTATTGTCCACCAGGGGAACAACCTTTAGACATATAAAATTCAAATGTCAAATCACAATCTACATATTGTTGTGCATACCGTGTGTTTTCAAATAATAACCCTATTTAGGAGAAAGTGGCACAGCCCTCAGTACTTTGCAATATTTGCTTGTATAGCTATTTCCCAAAAGGGTGTTTTTTTTGGGCACATGTCTCACAACATTGGCCAACTTTCCACTGCCATGTTGCAGTACATGAGAAAACCGTTGCATATATGCCAGGGTATGGTGGGTCATATTCTTGATATCCACGACGTGCCCATATTGAAGGACATGGACACCCATATTCTAGGTTATGGCTATGTCCTTGCCCCTATCTTTGCTGCGTCCAGGATATGGAGGCCTAGTATCTTGGATTATGTTCCATATCAGGAAAATGAGACTTTTACTAACTAAGCTGCTGATCTGTAGTAGGCACAACAATATCAGATGGCATAAGGTGATACATCTGTGATTATTTGAGAGCACTCCATTGGGGCAAAAAGATGAATATACTTATCCATCCAGGCTTGAAGGTTGCAACAACATTTAGCAAACCATTGGGAAAATGGGGGCTCAAACGAAACTACTAATTCAAGGAGGTGTTTAGAAGTAAAGGACACCAAATAGGATGTGGCAAGTAATAGTAAGAAATAAGAAGAAGACTGCCTGTTGTATTTCTATCATGCTGTAAAGTTTCTTATCAGTACCTTTTGTCATGCAATTTTTAGATAATTTCAGTGGCCATGGCTTTGTGTATTGTGCATGATCATTTTTGCCTGAGTATGTCTCTTGCTTCCTTATGTTGCAACGTGTTATGTTCCCAAGTTCCATCAACAACGCCAACAATGAAACCCATTTCTCGACACCCTGCCTATTAAGCACCCTCTTTCTCCAAACCACATCTACAAAATACAGTTTCAGTACCAGCTGGTACGAGCAAGTACTGTAAGCAGTGCTGAACTTGTGACACGTATTCCCAAAAGAGGGTTACAAGAGTTTGGTCGTGACTGCAAAGCCAACCGACGTCGTGAGTCACATCCTGTAGCCACCATGACCAAAGCTGCCCACATCCGAGCAATCACAACACACCACTGCCGCCCTCCCTTTGCTGAAATTGTGCAAGTCGTTTCAGCATTTAAAGAAGGGTCCGTGACACATCAACCACTGAGCAAGCTGCCCTTGTGCTGGCAAGCCCGCATCACCAATAGGATGGCTCAAAAAAGGTCCACACCCAAAATTCATCACGTTTTGGCGCATATGGTAAAGTACATTTCTGAACTGGGGATCGATCCAGATACCTCTGGGGTGACGTCTTACCATTCCACCAAACGACCTGGCCAGGTGCAAGGAAGAGGGCAGTCCCATAAACGCTTAGGTACTGTGGGCATTAAATGAACAATTGAACATCTCGAAGACAGTACCGTTCCACGCCACACGTCGACCTGGAATAGGGCGAGAATAAATTTGTCCCCCTGTCTTTTCCGTGAAGATCCCTTCTTCTGCCCTCAGTGGTTTAGGGTTTAGGGTGTCGAAACAAGAAGGGGTCTGCACGGAAAAGACGGAGCGACTAATTTCATGCCGGCACCGGCCCAGCATGACACCGAATGCCAGCTTGCACCCACGTCAGCAAACGTCTTTTCCGAGAAACCCCGCGTGACTCATCTCAACAAGAGACCCCCCCACCTCCAGCGACGCCAGGGCGCCCTCCACGACGCCCGCCTCGCGCAGCTCCTGGCTGCCCTGGCACAGCGTCAGCGCCGCCGCCGCGCTGTCGTCCCTGGAGCTCAGCCGCTGGTACCTGGCTCCAGATTTCGCCGCCAAGGGTCAGCTGCCGGTCAAACGTCACTCCGAAAATTTCCATGAACGGCCATCTTTCGGCAATGATCCGGAATTTTGCGGAGTTTTCCGGAATTCGGAAATCTTTTCACGGCGCGGAGCGGCGAACGGGTGGTCTTGCGCGCCGCTTGGCGGCCCCTGGGCGCCGGAAGCCGAGAGCCCTGCCAGGTATTCGTGACGGGGTGCCGGTGCGTCTGTACCGGCGTCGGGGAATCGCCGGCAAATGTTGGCTGCGGCCTTCCCGGCATCGCGAGCGCACGATCGGCATCCCGCGAACTTTCTGTCCCGGATCGCGCCGATGGAAATTGCATCACAAGCGCGGTGGTGGGGAAAAGGGGCCAGACATCGGTGGCTGCACAAAATTCTGTCACGCGGGGTATGGGCGGAGGTGAGTGGGGCGTGGCGGACCTCATGGCTGGGTTGGCCATCGCGGGCTCGTTGGCGCAGCGCCTGTGAGATGTGTGGCCTGCCCAGTGTTCGGGCCTCTGTGGGCTCGAGGGGCCCGCCGGGGGAGGGCGGGGTCGCTGGCTGCAGCATCAGAATGGCGGGGGGGCGGGCATATGCGCTCCGCTTGACCCCACCATGTGAAGGGCATTCGGGGGTAATTTGCGAAGGCGTTGGGCCACAGTTTGAGTAATGTGGCGAGTACTGCAATATTCGCGAGGGGCGCTTGGCGTTGTTGCGCGTTGGCTGTGGATTGCGCCTACCGTTAATCGGTGGTTCATGGGTTTGCCGCAAATCAGTGCCCATATTCATTGTCGTGGAGGGATTGATGACCGGGTCGTGGTGAGCAGAAATCCCCGACGAACTACTGTTGTTGCGGAAAAGTTGCACAAAACTTAGCACTTAATAGTGCATGCTTGTACAATCTTTCACTGGAAGTATACAGTGGGTGCCTCGACGGCAGGCATTCGAACGGAAGGGTGCCGCCCGAAGGGAGGAAGGTGGCGTGACGGTATACAGACAGGGTAGCAGCATGGCTACGTATCGATTCTGCTACGTATTAATGGCAAATGCTTCAAGCGAAATACAGCAAATACGGCAAACAAATGACATTGTCAGGATAAAATAGTTGCGCCTTACCAGTCTCCTACCGTTGCCAATCTACAACTTTGCTGCACTGCTGATGCGCTGCTCAATCTGTCACGTTGTAACATCAGTTTGCGTCCATGGCGACAGCCTCGTTATGTGTGTGAACACGTTGCAGACATCGCAATATGCGATGGCCCAGGAAACACGATCGTGTTTCGCATTGGTGCGTGCTTTTGGCTGCCTTCATACGAGATTCACACCAGAGGAAGTCGTGCAGAACAACATAAATTCTGGGCAAAGGTGTAATCTCGGAACTTCTAAGGTGGAAGCAATGCGCCGAGGGTGGGATTGCACAAGAAATTTAATGGGAAGTTGACAGTCTGTTCCCACTGGGAACAGTTGCAGGCAGTTTCCCAGATTTCTGTCAAGTCATGCCACCCCCATGCCCACCGGGCTGAATCACACAGGTCTGGATTTTACCATTCAGGGGGGCTGTGGCCAAGGACTTTGATGAACAAATGAAAATTCACCGTTCAACTATCCGATATATTGCAACATATCTCAGAATTGCTGATCCCGAGTACAGGCGCCCATGGCAGGCTCGGTTCCAGCCAGATTCCGCTTACCAGAGGACTGCATCTGCCTTTGTCACCAAACACCAAGCTAAACTCATCACCTGAACTTGGGAGTGCATTCAGATGTTGCTTAGTCATTGGTCCATGGTCAGTGGCACCGGCCAGCCAGCCGGTCGAAGTGCCGTTTCAGACGTCAGAAACGGCGCAGAAAATGCATTGAATGTTGCACCGCTTTGGCCTACAGGAGGACCTCCCAGCAAGTGGTGCTATGGGCCCAAACTTCAGCAGTCGTTATCAACATCTAAACAGGGATTGTGAGTTGGAATGCAGCCCTACATTGTGTATAATGGCTGAGGACATAAACCTACAAAAATTGCGTGAAATGGGATGTTTTGTGCTGGCGCCAACAACAGGAATGCTCTGGTTCGCAAATGGCCTGCTGGCATGATCCCTCGCACAGGGCTGATCGGCATAAAGCCTTGCGGGTTGAGGCAATGGTGCTGTTGCATCATCGCTCTGCAGCTCCCTTTGGGACCGGTGGATGCACAGTAGTTAACACTACTTCGTTGCACTTGCTTTCCCGAACTAGGGCTCTATTGCAATGCTGTGCTCCTCTGCACCATCGCACATGCTTGTAACGGCATCACTGTACTGAGGTGCATTGCCATGAAATAATGACACCCAGTATTTCTTGTTTTCAGTTTGGAACGAAGACATTTCGAATATAGTCTCTCCGTTTCCCAAGAGTGACAATCGCCAGACTTTGTAACAACTACTGAAAACACGTTTACGGACAGAGCGAATACAATGCCCGTAACTGCGCACTATTTGCGCATTCAACAACATTGCAAATTCATGCAAAGTACACAAAAACTACATTTGATATCTCAAGCCCAAGCTGCCAAAGAACGTGTGGGACAGAGGAATAATGCTGATTTTGGCAAGTGGCCCTCTATCTGCATTCCATGTGCAAACGCGTTCCAGTGTGGGCGACCCGACTGTCGTCTCTAGCATCATCCCCATCGAAGACATGCGTGATTAAGGATTGTCCATTCCACCCAATGCAAGAAGCCAATCAAAACGCAACGCGTTTTCTTACACTGTCGCTGTGCTGCTGATCCTGCGCTTAAAGTACTGAACCAAACTCGCTCATATGAGCAAACAATGAGTATGCGCAATTGTAACATTATTAGAAAATAGCGCACATTTTGTGTGAATTATGAACAAGATTTCACGGACAGGGTGTCGATAGTCGCGCACGGCTTGGAATACCATCACAAGAGGCCGTGGCACACTTCCCAGAAATCATGGAAAAAAAATCAGCGTGATGCGCTCTTGGTTCCTATGCACTGGGCTGCGTTTGAATCAGTCTTGGTTGAGTGTGGGATTGACAGGAGGCAACAGGTTTCATTGGACTGCATCATGCAAGTGAATCCGTCTTTCTGATGGCGTAAATTCTACCGTCTTGCAGACTTCAGTCTGAGCTTGTTTTTGCCACCCTCATTTCGACCGATCAATCTGGTGGCCATTCATCCTTATAGCGTACAATGAAAGGGTCGTCTTGGTCAAGTTCTACTTTGCTGCTGAGCACCTGGCAGAAGGCTGTCCTGCGATTATGTATGTAGTGCACACCAGTATGTTCAATTTGTAGTACAGTTGGTGCGTACATTAGGTGTGTGCAGTAACGCATATACGATCTGCACAATTTCATCAGCATATCCCAACAAAATGCTGTGCAGTGATATTGGAGGAATTGGCAAGAACTACATGTGGCAAGACAACAACGAAGTGGTGCTGTAGCCTGCATTGATAAAACGATCAGCACCCAATCTGTGTGAAGCAGCAGATGCACAGCTATCTGGGCAGAAGTGCCATGGAGAAGCAAATGCACATACGCATATGGGAGATGGCTTGCAGCAGGTGTGGTAGAAAATGAGACGAATGCCACCCAAGTGCTTAGTGAGCAATTGCCACTACATGAGTACTCATGGCTTCCTCATTCTGAATGTGGTTCAAAATTAGACTTACTTACAGCATAAAATTACACTTGGCGCAAACATCAGGATTCGCAAGGAGTGCCAGCAGTGCACATAAACCATTCACAAATCGACTAGTGAGCCAGCAGCAACTTCAACAGTGCGATGGCAACCAATACGAAGAAGATTGCAGACTCCACCACCATACGCCGTTTTGCAGCCCGGAAAGATATGACACCCCTCACAGCCAATGCTACTGGCGGCAGGGGCACCAGAGCAGGTAGTACTTTGTAGCCAAGCTGGTGAACTATAACATTGGCTATGAAGACAATTTTCCACAAGCGGTCGGCCAAATCAAGCTGTGCTTGCTTTTGAACCCACTTTTCAAATTCTGCCAAGGCCCGCACGTCCTTGAATCTGATGTTATTGTACACTTCATGGACCCTTTTCAAGTCGCCAGAGCACTGCTCCATGGCCTTGTCCAGTTCGTCTGCGTCCAACAAAGCTGAAGTGCAGCCTAAGCCAAGCCCTTGCGTAATGGGGTGTGCTGCGTCGCCCAAGAGCACCACCCTGGGGGCAGCAATGGACGAAAGCTCAACGATGTCAGTGGTGCTCGATGCGGGCCCATGCATTCCTGCAGCCACAGGTTTTACCCATGATGATGGGAACACCTCAGGCACCACCGCTTGCAGCCATTCCTCCTCCCGGCCACTGATGGCCTCCAAGCAACCCAGTGCACCTCCAACAATGCCAGCAATGATCCCATCAGCATTTCTGTAAAAGCGAAGGATGTCTGGGCCGAAGTTTGCACCTTTTGCTGGCTTTGTGTAACTCACTGCCACGAACTCCCCCTGCTGGACCAGCTCCGACGAATCATCACCCGGTTTGCCTATGGAGGGGACTAGGAAATGCGCATAGTCACCTCTGGCTTTTGTCACCTTGGACACCAACCTCGGGTTGGTCACCGCAATCGATGCTCGGACCACACTTTCAATTCCATCAGCACCCACCAGCAGGTCATAGGGGAGGATTCTGGGGGTCACTCCGTCACCTGTGCGGTAAGTAACAGTCTGGCCATCCAAGTCGATGGCCTCCACAGTGCTGCTCGTCTGCAGGTCCACAAACCCTGGGAACTTCCTCTCGGCTTCCTTCAGCAGGTGCTGCGCAAAAGCTGTGCGCTCAGCAATCAGTGTGTTGCTCATAGACGTACCCTGCACCTTTTTGTTGGCCTTCAAGCTGTAAAGTCCTGACAAGTGCCGGACCCCATTCTGCCACCCATCCTCTGGGATCTGTATGCCCAGTTTTTTGAGCGGCTCCTGGACTGTGGGCAACAAGATGAGAGGGATCATCCTGTAAGGGTCTACCACCCATGAGTCAGGGTGTGGCATTCTTTCCAAGATGGTCACCTGACACAAATGCAGGTAAGGTGTGAGAGGTGGCGCTCCTTGGAACTTTACTTTCAGGTGGGCATCACTGGCCACAGGCAGGGACATTCTAGTTGTGGGTTGTTTGGAGACACGAATGAATAGGCATTGTAGCAGGGAGCCCCAGCAAGAAGTTATGAACACAAGGAGAGCACGTTGACAGGATTGGGTTGCCAATTGTGGCCCTTGCAGTGATTGAAATTCTGAGGCTGTTGACATATTTTGATAGCATACTACAGGCAAGGAATGAGGACGTGGCACAAAACAAAATCTGCTACAACAGAGCAAATTTTTGCAAGCGGCTCCAATGCCCAATTCTGTTCAACAGGTAGCAGAAGGGTTGTATAGCAATCGACCAGTGTTGCCATAATTCAAAGGGAACAAAACTTACCCCCAGGGGGCACTTTGTATTTTGTACAGTGCCCAACCAACATCAATGCAATGGGTGATGGGACTATAGCCCCTTTGCCTATTTATGCCACATGATGAACTGGAGAGTATTGGTCACAATTGGAATCCATTATCTTGGAAACAGAACGAAAGAGAGCAAACTTTGTCACACTGTTGGCAAATGTGATCAATGTTAATATGTTGGGCTGTCGAATTTGTATCATTGCAAGGTCTCATATAAGGACTACTATGTTTCCATAGCATACAATGGGCACAAAGGTGTACCCTGTTCGATGCTCTGGGGAACTATATGGACACGATCCGGAGATAACCATTTTGCTGTGAAAGCGGCCTGTGACTGTGGAAATATGCCCACCTTGCATATCGTGTGGATGCCTATTTGTTTGTTTTGTTTGCCCAGGGCAAACATGCTGCTGCTTTTGGGAACTTAGGAGCTGAAACAGTGGCACACTGTAAAGCACTGTGTTTAGTGCTCCCCACCCACTCTTACTGGACAACAAACGTGCTTTGGGAACATCAGATTGTGCTTGTGTTCTGTGCCCGACATTGTCTGCCTGGTGCAGGGCTTGCCTTGCCATGTTGTGACAGGCACATTACAATTGGAATGGGGTCCTCATTGCAATCTGCGCTGGGTGTTCATTGCCCCACAGCGGCTGCTCTGTTTAACCCCACGCCATGCAACGTAGTGACAACCATGTCATCAATGGAATCGGCCTCGTTTTGCACCCCAATGTGCGAAAACATCGCCACAATGGACCCCAGCAGATCATCAGAATTGGACCCATTGTGCTGAAAAGGTCGCCGCAATGAAGCCCAATGTATCAATGAAATGGCCCCACCTTGGACACCCACTGTACAAAACGTCGGCGCCATGGAGCCCCGTGGATCATTGGCCTTGGGTTCCCCTTGCATCCCCACCGTGCCAAAAACATTGCTGCAGTTGAGCCCAATAGATTAATGGAATTGCCTCACTTTGCTCCCCTGCCTGTGCCCAAAAGTCGCCACAATGGAGCCCGATGGACCACTGGAGTTGGACCCACCTTGCACCCCTGCCGTGCTCAAAACATTGCCGCAAAAAATGGTGTTCGGTGGATAAATAGAATTGGACCACACTGTGCGAAAACCATCGCAAAAATGGCCGCTGGATCCATGGAATTGAGCCCACCGTGGGCCCAGCCTCACCATGCTCAAGACATCCCCGCAACGGAGGCCAATGGATCAACGGAATTGGACCCACCCGGCACCCCCGCTGCGCTCAGAAACGTCGCCACAGTGCGGCCAGGTGGATCAATGCAATCGGAACCCACCTTGCACCCCCGCCGGGCGAAAAGCATCGCCGCGACGGAGCCAGCCGGCCCGCCTCCCACAACCACCACCCGCTCACCCTCCCCCTCGCCATGATCCTGCCCTGAGCCGCGCAATTCAACACGCCATCGCCTATCCACCGCCGAGGGACGCCTTCCCAATGCGATCGGCGATCGGCCAACCGCGTCGACAGAGGGGAGCCTGAAGGCGCTGGGACATGACCGGGGGAGCTGTCGCCGGGCACCCGGTGGTGGCGCCCAGCGGACCGGAGCCAAGTGGCTGCGGAGGTGCTGCGACACGCTCATTGGCAGGGCGGTGGCATGCACAAGCCGTCCACAAGACACCAAAACCGAGCGCTGTAGTGTGACAGGCCTGTCTGGTGGACACTGACTGTACCTGGGGATGGGTGCAGCCGGCCTCAAATGAGCATTGAACCACTGAACATCTTGATTACATCGTTGACGGCTACATAGGGAATGGTGCTATGCCCTGTAATCCAATTCTTCCGGTTTCAGGTCTCTCGCTCAGAGTGTGATGGCCTCTGGCCCTTTGCCCTTTTGTGTGATACTGTTGCATCTGTCTCTTCGTGCCCTCCTCACACTGCAATTCCCATTAACTGCCCACACTACTGCCCGGGAGTCATATACCGACAATGAAGCAGGAATCTTTGTGCCCCTGGCCTGCAGGCGCCAGCCGCATATGGTCGTGTTCGTGTCGCCAATAAATGGGGCACATCGGAAAAATTTGTACATTAATGATGTCACTCAGCTGACGGCCCGTAAGGTCCAGATCAGATGCAGAGAGGGTGTCAACAACCTCAGCACTTTCGCCACACTGATTATCATCCAGAAGATTGGCGATCAATGAGGCGGAAAGACCCCAGTGACAAACAGCCTCAACATACGCCCAAAGAGTCCTCAAAAATGCAGCAGAGATGCCGAACACAGCGCTAGTACGTGGCAGTGCGCACTGCCGTAACGCATGCGTTACGTGAGCAGACCGGAGTCAAACACGCCCCCAAAACGACGTGAAGTACTGACGAGCATCCAGGTCGCTGATGGGCGAGTGCGATTGCTTAGGGGCTACCCGCCTGGCTGTCTGCCACGGAGCTCGGTGAGACGAGGGGGGCGTGGAGGCGCCATGTGGTCGTTTGGTGGGAATAGGGCTTGTGGGGCATGACGTGGTCGCTGGCCGCGGGAAGTGTGGCGGTTTGATGAGAATATCCGGGTTCAGGACCGGCTAGGTTCGGGCTGAGATTGGGGTTATTTGACGCCTAGGTCCGGCTAGGTCCAGTCCTAATTCTAGTCTGGTCTTGGTCTGGTCCGGCCCGGTCCTGGCCTGGTCTTGGCCCCGTCCTGGCCGATTTTAGGGCAGCCGGCCGCAAGGCCGAAAGCGGACTTCTGTCCAGTCCCAGCCCTGGTCGCGGCCCCAGTCCCGGTCCTGGTCTTTGCCTAGTCCCGGTCGTGCCGGGCCCACCTTTGGCTGAAATCTTTTGTTGAAAATTGCTTTCCAAAATACGCAGCTGCGCCCTTGCACATCATGAGCAGCAGAACCGGGCGTCCACCATGTGGCTCATGCTCCTTGGTATTTGTGGATTTTGGCAAGGTGCCCTGGGTGGTTGTTGCAAGATGGATGGAGTCCTTGTGTTGCTGGCAGCGAATGGAGACCATGTATCAGCGGCAGAGGCACTCGTTGGTCCAAGAAAACGCCTGTGACGTCTGCCATTCATCGAAAGGCTTTGTCAGCGAATGAGGCCACACCTGGATGCAAATTTCCATCTCCTTGCCCCAGGTGTAGGACAAGCTTTATCCCAGTGAGCTCCAGATATGGCCATTTCGGCCAAGAAGATATTTTTTTAATTGGTCGAGGCCAAAGGCTAGGGGAGGAAAATTTTGGTGCAGGGCCACATGTTGGCATCTACAAAACTTGGCATTCTGATCTTATACAATTCAATTTGATTTGGTGCATCAGCACACACTGACTGGCCTGTTTGCCAGTATTGTATCTCAAACATTTGGAGCAGTTGCAAGGGCCACTTCATGGCCATAGTAGGCTATGGTGCCTTCATAGGGGGAGTACTATCCTATTGTGGACAAGTAGGGATTTGTATGCCTCGATGTTCATGTGCCGAATATCTGGACCCTGGTGTTTACTACTGTTCGGGTCGCCAATTAATGGTGCTCATCGAAAATTTAGTGCACTATGATATCACTCAGCAGGCGACCCGTGAGGTCTAGATATGGTGCACAGGGGATGTCGACAGCCTCAGCACCTTCGACACACTGATCATCATCAAATTGCAGGCTCAGAACACTCAGAATGCAGGGAGATGACTTTGGTTACGAAGACAGTTGATAGCAACTGCATCACACGCCTAAAGAGTTCACTGAGGTACTGTAATAATGCTGAGCACAACCCCAATACATGGCAGCGCATCACACAGAGACACATGAGTCAAACATGCCCCGAATACGCCTCAGAGCACTGAGGAGCACCCGGGTTACCACTGGACACATGCGTTTGTTTAGGAGCTGCCCGCCTGGCGGTCCGCCGCGGATCGTGGCGAGACGGAGCCAGGAGTGGCGTGTCGAGATGCCACGTGGTTGTTTGATGGGAATATGCCCCGTGGGGCATAACGTGGTTGCCGACCACGGGAAGTGTGGTTGCTTGGTGGGAATGCGGCCCTTGGGGCACACGTGGTGGCCGATTGTGGGCAGTGGCGCGTCCTGGGTTGAATTGTGGTGGAGCAGCGGGCGTGGCAGAACGATTTCGGGTATCAAAAGAGCATGTCTTTGGAATGGGGGTACTTTTGCCAAAGGGGGGCGGACAGCACGGGGTAAACTCTGTATTGTTGCACTCGGCTTGGCAGCTGTAAGAACGGTTGTGTGGGGTTCGTGTGTCTCTCGCGCGGCGGTATAGGCGCTCGGTCTGGCTGCCTGCCCCCCCTGGCCGTGCGCGCAACGTTCGCCACGGCCTGAGCGCAATAGCGCTCGACCTTTTCGAAGGTCGCGGCCAGTTTGGGCCTTGTTTTCAAGGCGCTTCCTTGCCGTTCGAGACCAGAACCTCCAGCGCGGTCTAGTTGCCGACCAGAACGCCCCAAGTCTCGTCTTTGCACTGCCTTGTGGAGGCGGAGAGAAGCGTTTCCCGTGTCCTACACCGACGTGCTGCGGACACGGCAGCCCTGACCCGTGGAACTGACCTCCGTTTTGACTTCGTCGACAGCTGAGGAGCAGTTGCGACCGCTTGGGGCGCTCAGAGCGGCAGCTGCGAGAGGTTCTACAAGTGTATTTGCATGGCTGGCTGGCGGTTGGACGTTTGCTGCCCGCTTCAAGCTTGCCCTTGCCGTCGTCTCTGCTTTGTTGGCCGTGTCGGCGTGCCGAGCAGTTCTTCGTGAAGAGCCGGTTTGCGCGAGGGGCAAAGCTTGTTCGTTTAGTGCACCCTCAACTGCTGTGGTGCTGAGGCCGTCGGCATGGCTCAGCTGCCCGTTTGAGGGTGACTTTACTGCGCCATCTCCGGGGACGGCGGCCAGAATGGACCGCCGTTCTTTGCACTACTGAGACCAAATCATCACAACACATGTTTGGCCAACATGTTTGGCCAGCAGCGTCCATGGAAGGCATTGGACTTACGTTTTAGAACAGCATTTTGATGCTTGCAATCTGCACATTCTGCTCCCCACAACCATGCTAATGCACTTGATCAATGAGCCCCAGCAGGAACGAGTTTATAGCATCTTGTTTTGTATACAGGCATCGATAAGCATAGTGGTTTGTGTCCCTAACTAAGATTCAAATCTAATGCACCAACTCATTGGCCAACTTTGCAATAGGCGATCAGGTTCATACCAGAGGGCACAACACACAAACCACTGCAAGAACAATTCAAAACGTTGATGTGACAAGCAGTGGTGGGATGCGAGCCTTGTCAAACATTGGGCTCGGGTCGTGGGGAAATTGAACCAGTTGCATGGTCAGGTCAGAATACCACTCCATTGCAGATTGGGCCGTCTGCAACAGCTGGTTGCCATTGATCAGCGATCGACGAGGATGTTATTTGGGATGCCAGGAGTTTGGTATTGATCCACAATCGAAAACAGCATTTCACAGGGTACCAAGGCATCAATGCCAATCAGTTTTGGGGCTGCAGTGTCTTATGGCTCACCAGGCCGTGGGAATTTATCTCCGATCTCCTGCCACGTTTTGGGGACCGCCATTGCTTGGATCCGATCCCGATCTGTGGTGGGCCACAAAGCAAGCTCTGCAGTGGTGTGTTGGTGATGATCGGGGTTTGGACTGTCGGGGCCCACCTCAACTCCCGTTGCCGCCTTTTGCCTTCCCCATTGGAACCCGTTAGGGATCAACAGACCATCTAGCCGCAGCCCTCCATTTTGCTACTGGTGCCATCCCACGCAATAGACTGGCTGGACCTCTGAACCGCCTAAACTGCCACCACGGCAGTGCGGCACTGCCACCGTGTGCCACTATGGGCCCGCAGTGGTGGTGTTGCGGATCTCGGTACACGGGTGACTGGCAGTGACCTGGCAATGTACCGGGCCAGGTATGGTGCTGCCGCCGCCGCCGCCTCCCTGACCTGGCTGGCGGTGTACTGGGGCCGGCCCGGGCCCGAT